TTTAAATTTTGCTACATTTTTTCATTGACATTTTATATAAATAAAATAATCATTAAAATTATATTCTATATTATAAATAATTATATAAATCATTAGTTTATATAATTAAATTTCATTAAAATAACCGAAATATTAACTGAATTATGGTTGTATATAAATATAGTTACATTTCTCAAAATTTGTTATCGGTTAAAAGTAAAATGGCCTTACTCTTGGAACCCCTCTTATCTTCCCACGGAACCCTACGGTTCCGCGGAACACCTTTTTTGGGGATAACTGGTCTGCACTATAGCCTGTTTGTGGCTTCTCATTTAGAATTCGTTGATGAGAGTGCGTTTTTTTTTTCTTTATCTAATTAGCAAATGATTTATGGTTAATTTTAAGAAGCTTTGCTTGGCTTCTTGAGTATTTCATTGTAACATAATATGAGAAAATTTGGTTCGTTATTTAGGGATCATAGATTACTAAGGTTATATTTCTTATCTGCTAGTAAATTTTAATACCTAGCATTTTTTATTATTTATTTAAAAAAATTTTTTTTATCTAATTTATATAATATACTTCGTGAGGCATAAAATTTTTATGCATGCAATTCATTTTACACTGTCTACCCTTAAATGACAAAATACAAAATTTGTACGAAATCAATCGAATAGTTCTTTAGAAATAAAGTTTTAAAAATACAGCTACATTCGAACTTTCATAGCTCGGACGCTAAAAGTTGTTCAAAATTGTAGTTTAAAAATGGTGTAAAAAAATTTTATATTTAAAAATTCTAAATTTTATCGACTCAAACAAAATAAAATAATAAAAAATTAATAAATAAATATCAAAAATTATTTTTGGCATGGAGTTATTTTTGGATAAACGAATCTTTTAACTGCGCGTAAAAAGTTTTCAATTGACTTAAAATGTTCTCTAAATATGGCGAGATATGCAAAAATTAACATCATGGGATCCAAACTTTGGACCTCTCTCCTGACCTAACTTTTCGAACCATATTTTCCAGATTGCCCCCACTCAATCCTTCCCCTATATTTTGATTTTCAACAATCCAAATCATTAAAAAATAGCATGTTTATTCATAGAAAGTACGCTTTTGTGTTCAGTTCTATAACTTAACTTAACAGTTAGCACTAATAAATTTTCAAATTGTAAGTCTGCTTCTTTAAACAGTTAAAATTAGTTTTCTGTTTTTTGTTCTTATTTTGAGCACTGAACAATGAGAAGAAAAAAAAATTTCTGTTGATTAGCTCTCTACGTACTATGTGCCACTCTTAATGGTTCAAGAAGCGGTGACCCAAAAGGGATAGAGCGCTCGCCTCCCAATAAGGTGACCCAGGATCGAATCCCAGAGATGGCAGGTCGATAGGAATTCTGCACCCGACAAAATGTCTTCAGTGATAGAGGAATCATGGGTTAGGGTCAGCCTGCCGCCATACTAACCGTAGAGGATTTCGTGGTTTTTTCTCTCCGTGTAACGCAAATGCGGATCAGTTTCATCAAAAAGTCCGCCACAAAGGCAATTTTCTTCCGATATTTGATCCAGGAGTTCCCTTGTCTTCTGGATAGGGTTTGAAATCAGAAGGCTACGAAGTTGAACATTGGTAGTCGTACATTAAAAAATGGGGACGGCTGTTCACCGAGGGTTATAAAATAAAATAAATTAATAGTTCGAAATGTTTACCTTAAATAGACTAATTATTTAGAGCAAACTATTAATTAAATTATGAAATAAAACAAAAAGACGTACTTTCTCTGAATAAACTTGCTGTTCTTATAGCAGATTTGGATTCTTGATCACAAAAGATGGAAG